ACTTAGCTGTGTTTGCCGTTGTCGGAAAATCTCCTTCTTTCGGCAAAGCTCACTATCCCGCTCACGCAGTTGCGATTCAAATGCTGCTCGCATCCGCAATCGCTCCTCGCGAAGCTCCCGAATTTCTCGCATTGTGGATTAAAGAGTAATTGCCTCCAACGATGGTCCCGATGTCGCATCTTGAAGCGTCGTTTGTAACACGAACTCTCTTTCGTGTGGAAACTCCCGTTATTGGATCCTGTTGCTCCATTGCCATAGCTCACGCTTTTCTTTTAGAATACACAAAACGGTCCGTCGTATCCCGGAGGGGCCCCCAAAATGTTGCGTCCGCGCGTCGACTTCGATAATACTCGAGCACGCGCGACACAAACGGCACTCGCGTACCGCGACGTAAATGATTAATACTCTTTTAAAAGAACAGAAGGACTTTAATAATAACACAGAACACACAATTAAACAAGGAACACAGAACGGGTAATAACGATAATCGTAATCTCGAATACGTCCGCCCGGAATGACATCCGTCGCGAGACTCGAGATGGCCGATCTCTCTCTCAAGATGTCCGCCGTTGTTTTACAACAACCCTTAGCGACGTGTTTGGAGATGATCTCTTAGAGACGGGAGCAACTTCAGGGTTAACTACCACGGACGACTCGCAGGGACGCAACAATATATAGCGACATGACCATACATGGTCGTTTTGTTAATTTGTAGCGGCAAGTCCTAAATGTGACCAGAGTGGCTTCAGAGTCGAAGTTCTCCGATTACATTGTCGCGTGATTTCCGGTAGCTTGCTGAATTCGCAGTTTCAGCGTTTCGATATATTCTTGTTTTAAGTCAAATAAAATTATATAACCTCACGTACTAAAATTAAATTATACATATATAAAAAATCCAAATTAACACAAGAATGCCTGTTCAACTTGTGAACTTGTTCTAACTACAATTATACTGTAAAATATGTCAATATGTAAATATACTGTAAGACAGCGAGTCAATTTGGAGTTTGTCAGGAGAATGGCTTTCGGAAAAGGAATCGTTTAAAACAGAGGAATAATGCGTACAGGAGCAATGTCGTATATTTTAGAACAGAACGCGATAAATCGTTAATCCACAATGTTGGTTAACACAAACACTTAAACGAACGCGTTTAATATTCATATAACCGAACACACAAACTATTAAACGACAACTCGAGAAAACGGAGGCAGCTAAGTAATAAGAGCTTTAACGCTGGAGACCGACGAGACGTCTGTACTGTAACGCGTATTCATGCCAAAAGACGTCCGGTCAGCCACAGGTTCATGCAACAGCCCTCGTTACCAGGGAAACGTACATTTGTTGTCTAACAAGGCTCGTTGTTAGGGAAACGTTTATACATTGTTTATAACATGTTATTAAGTTGCTAATTACTAAGCATTCAAATTATGGCGCCCTATTATTATGCGCATGCGGGAGCGCTGCTAGCGCGACCACTAGTTAATCGATTGTAACGC